ACACCACACACTCAACTAAAAACATTCAAGCAAATGAGTGAATAGCAGACAAGGTTCAAACGTTTGTGAATAGAGTAACTCAAGCAGAAAAGGTTAATTAGTTTGTCTAAAAGCCATGACAAGCCATGTATGCTCAACATATTAGTACACGCACACACACATACACAAACACTACTGTTAGCATAGTTCAGCATATATTTCCTTCAAATAGGATCATGCCGTTCAATAGATGCTCACCAAAATATACAGAATTCTATTCAAACTAATTTGAGAACAAATCATTCAACTATAAACACATCTTACCTTGAAATTGTGTGAAAAAAAGAATTTTCTAATGCATTCTAACAAGTGACAGAACATATTTATTAAGCGATTTCGAGAAAAAATGAACATTTTAAATAATCCTTTCAATATAACATGACAATAAATATTGAAAATAGATTTCAGCGACCCAATTAATAATTAAAACATATTTCCTTATTTATGTAATCTTAATTTTTTGCCTCATTACTATACTCTTAACAGTAATCATAACTAAAAACGGCTATATTTTCTGTTGTTCTATGTAAAGCAGCTTGTTTGAATATATAGGCTACTCGTTTGCCGAACATTTAAAAATATTTTATTTGTTTTAACGCATCAATTTATGTCTATGATTGGCATAATCTATTAGGGGCGCGCAAATGAATAATTTATGAGTTATCGCTGCACAAGTTACAAAATAGTATAAGTCAAGAGAAATTATGGTAGTAAAAAAATCTGTTTTGCAAAAGAAACTGGTTAAAATATTCCTTACTAAGCATTCCACATTGTACTAAACACAAAATATTGAATAAAGCCATTATTATCGTAACAGTGCTGACTAGCGACTAGCTTCGTGAGGAAATTCTCCGAGTTCTAGTGAGAAGACGTGACTAATGGAGTTCAACCCTGTCGGGTGTAGGCAGTAACTACCAAAGACAAATGGGTGAGGTCGCGCAAAATCCCTATATCAATCAGAGTTAGACATTAACACCGTTGACTGCCCATCCAGTTGTCCGATGGTAAGGGGTTCGCCTACAATGCCGAAGGTCCCGGGTTCGAATCCTGTGAGGTGCAGGAGTCGTGGATGCGCACTGCTGATGAGTCCCATACCAGGACGAAAAGGCCGTCCAGTGCTTCCATGTTTCTAATTTCGGTCTAATAATGGTTGATTGATGATTTCAAATGTGTAAAAGCCATTGTTATTATTTTTATAGTTTTCAATATTTCATAAAGAGCTCATAAATGTTTGCTCTCAAAGTTTCGTCAAACTCTGAATGTCACTACATTACTGCTTTGTATTCACTCAACACTTCATGTATACAAATAATAAAAAAATCATGAATATTCAGGCTCACTCACATACACACATGCACATGGTGGGAGTAACTACGACTCTCATAAGGTAGCCGAATGCCTCGTCATCTAATGAATGGGTGACGCGCATAAATGGAGCCTTTTGGGGGTTGTGGTGTCGGCTGCCTCTTCGTGGCCCCGCTGAGCAACGTGGCGTTGTTTACAGCGCTGCGGCCAAAGCCGTTCCGAAGGCTTAGGATACCGTGCTCAGCATGGTCCAGAATAATGGTACGTGTTCATGGTCGCAAGGCTGTGGATGCGGTTCGCCACTCTGGGGGATTAGGACTGAACGCCTCTAGGTGTGAATCCCGTCAATCGAGCGTAAGTAAATTAAAATAATGGTTTGAGGACTTGTCCTCTATCATTCCGATAGTAGCAAATACCTTGAAAGGGATATAGCTTTTCCAGGATACTTGAAGGCGGTCCTAGACGATTTGCTTGAGGAAGCGGCCGTAAATTTTCTGGACTATTGACGCCGACCCTATGTGGTTGTCCCGAACAATCTGTATCTCGGTGTATTGCGTAAACTAGTGTTGAGGCCCCTCAAAAAAGGGTCTCCAGTTGGGTTATGTGATCCGGTGCTAAAGGGTACTGTAGGCCAGATGGTTGGAATGGCTGCTGGTTAGTGCACTGCTGGGTGACTCGGTAATCCGTTCGGGGTGCCAGGTCCGGCTGGGTAAGCCCGCCTTGCCGCCCATGCCGATTGGGGATTTCGGGTAGTGAATTGGTAGAGGGATCTTGCTAATTCATAAGTGGCCGAACGGGGGCCACTGCTTGTGCGTGTGCTTAATGGATATCCACTTGTCTGTAGACCAGGCATGATGATTAACCAAGAACACACACATGCATACACATACACAAAGAAAAGTCACTTACATCCGCTGTTAACATGGTAATTTTATGTTCACGTGTATTCACTTGCTCTTTCAGTACATTAATATGATGTGTTTGATCTTGATGTTGTTTATCGACCATTTCTAAACGTGATTGCAGGGTGTATAATTCACATTCACGTTTTGATATTTCACCATTTAACATTTCAATCTAGTGAGAAATTATGAAAAACAAGGTGAGAGAGAGATTATAGTGTGCAGATATAAGTAGTATATCATGGAAATACGTTGTAGAATCATTATTATTGGCAAAAGAGGAAAATAATGAGGAGACAAGAACAAAAAATTAAAAGCCAATCAAAATGATAAGAAGAATAAATAGACAATAGAGATTGTGAAGGACAACTCAAAAAAAGATATGCAAATAGTGTTCTCGTGTATGGTTATCATTCACAGTTGGCAACGAAGACAATACAATAGAATTATAATGGAATGATACGATAAGTGAAGATCAAATGTGTCGGTTAGTGTGACCCACGGAAAACTTCGAACTTAGGCAGTAACTCCGTTAAAATTCGATCTATTGGTCTGGAGTGAAAAAACAAGACTGAAAGTTCTTTATTCGATTTCCATGTGTAAGATTGTGGATGCGCATTGTTGATGAGTCCCACAGTAGGCCGAAATGGCCGTCCAATACGTTTAGGTTTTCAATCCTGTTCTAGGTAAGATCAGTTGATGATTCCAATGAGGTATATTTTTAATGAACTGATGTTTTTCCGAAAGTAATTTTAGTCTATTTCTCTAGACCCATAGAAAAAATGAATCGCATGTCGAACCAATATTCTTTGATTTAAATTAATCATTTCATTCAAATCAGTTTGTTGTTTTAAAAATGAATGTTTAACTAAATTGTTAGGATACTGATCAAATATCCTAAAGAAATTATTTTTTTGTTCTAAAATATCAAGTTCACATGCTTTTTAAATGTTGACGTAACTGTTAGTGGGAAGCTTAGGACGCTCGGATCAGAGTAGCCTATAATAACAATGGGGATCACTTATCTTAGCTCTCATTTACCGACTAAGATGAACTCATAATAGCATTCAAGTATAACAATTGATAAGCATAACATAAAATTCTATCCATTCATTCATAAATAAACTGTCACAGTTAAAAATCATGAGCTCAAAAATCATCATTACTCAACTCTAAATACAGTACTCAAATGCAAGAGAAGACGACCAGTGTAGCAGCAGCCTCTGCAGCAGTAGGTCTCAACATACATAAAGGAAAAAGCAAAATTCTCCGATGCAACACAACATGAACCAACCAAATCACTCTTGATGGAGATGCCTTGGAGGACGTTAATACCTTTACATATCTCAGCAGCATCATCGACAGTCAAGGTGGATCCGATGCAGATGAGAGGGCGCGGATCGGCAAAGCAAGGGCTACATTTCTACAGTTGAAAAATATCTGGAACTCCAAACAACTTTCAACCAAAACCAAAATCAGGATTTTCAATTCAAATGTCAAGACAGTTCTACTGTATGGAGCGGAAGCTTGGAGAACCATGAAAGGCATCTAACAGAAGTTGTCTACGCAAAATACTTTGGATTTGTTGGCCAGACACGATCAGCAACAACCTACTGTGGGAGAAATCAACCAGATTCCATTAGAGGAGGAAATCAGGAAAAAGCGGTGGAAGTGGATAGGACACACATTACGAAAAGCATCAAACTGCGTCACAATAGAAGCCTTCACTCGGAACCCTTAGGGTGAAAGGAAAGGAGGAAAGCCAAGGAACACATTACTCCAAGAAATAGATAAAGATATGAGAAGAATGAACAAAAATTGGACGGCATTGAAAAGGGAAGCCCAGGACAGAGTTGGTTGGAGAAAACTGGTTTGTGGATTATGCTCCATCGGGAGTAACAGGCGTAAGTAAGTAAACAAGTAAGTAAATACAGTACTATGTATGAACAACAGTCCCATTGTCTCTCCATATAGAGTATCCTATCAAGAGTACACTCGTATTTTTGAAATTAATTCACTCACTATTCTATATTTTTTCTCTTAGAATTCCAATCATAATTTACTTTTTTTCTCTATTCACATCTTGAATCGCATTTCAACTAATCATCATCATAGAAGTCACGTGATTTCTTTTTCATTTGTTTTCGAAATCGATAATGGGCGATCAGTTAGTTGGCTGTCATCATTTCTCATATATGCGAATATATATATATATATGTATATATATATATATATATATATATATATAGAGAGAGAGAGAGAGAGAGATCTGTATTCGATCGGAGTTTTTTTACCTCAAGAGAGACAACAATTTGAAATTGAACAAACAAATAAATACCAACAACAATAGCAGAAATGAAAATAAAGCTAAAAACAAAACCAGATTTAGGTTGTGTGTTTTTTTTTAAAAAATCTCTCAAAACTGCTGCATAAACAACAATGATTGAATGGAGGATGTTTTTGTTGTGAGAAAAAGCAACCAAAACAAATCAACCAACTAGAAAACAAAATTTTTCGATTAAAATATTCACATATGAATTTATATGGAGGTTAGTTAAGTGGGTTTTTGTGCATGTGAGACAGAAGTTCCTGGGTTCGGAGGGGCGTTTTATTCAGGCTTGCTGAGGAAAACGCCCATGATAGGAAGAAAGAGATTACACATTTGAAATCATCAATCAATCATTGTTAGACCACCATTAGAAACCTGGAAGCACCGGACGGCCGTTTCATCCTGGTAAAGGGCTCATCAGCAGTGCGCGTCCACGACTCCTGCACCTCACACGATTCGGACCCGGGACCTTCGGCATTGTAGGCGAACCCCATACCATCGGACCACTGGGCTGGCATCGAACGGTGTTAATGTCTAACTCTGATTGATATAGGGATTTTGCGCGACCTCACACATTTGTCTTTGGTAGTTACTGCCTACATCTGACAGGATTGAACTCCATTGTTCACGTCTTCTCAACTAGAACTCTGAGAATTTCCTCACGAATCTAATCACTAGTGAGCATTGTTACGATATTTTGGGGCAGTTTTGGAGGTTTTCGCGTTTTTACACATTTGAAATCATCAATCAATCATTGTTAGAACACCGTTAGAAACCTGGAAGCACTGGACGGCCGTTTGGTCCTGGTATGGGACTCATCAGCAGTGCTCGTCCACGACTCCTCATCCTCGCAGGATTCGAACCCGTGACAAAATTTTCGATTAATTTATTCACATATGAATTTATATGGAGGTTTAAGTGGGTTTTTGTGCGTGTAAGACAGAAGTTCCTAGGTTCGGAGGGGTTATTAAGGCTTGTTGATGAAAAAGTCCATGATAGGACGAAAGAGGTGTTTACATTTATTTTTAGAAAATGATTTTCCAACTTAGACTGGTTTCTGATTTCGGAGTAATGGAGATTGTTGTTAATTAGTGAAGTCATGAATCATTCATTATTAATCCGCCATTAGGAACCTGAAAGTACTGGACGGCCGTTTCATCCTGGAATGGGACTGACTACTCATCAGCAGAGTGCATCATTGACTACTGAAACTCGGGACCTTCGGTTTTGCGCGCGATCGCCTATTCTCTGGACCACTGGGTCGGCATCTAATAGTGTTAATGTCTAACTCTGATCAGTCTAGAGATGTCGTGCGACATCACCCATTCGTCTTCGGTAGTTACAGCATACACCCGAATCGGTGGATGCGCACTGCTGATGAGTTTCATACCAGGACGAAACCGCAGTCCTTCGATGCTTCCAGGTTTCTAATGGTCGTCTAACAATGACTGATTTATAATTTTCGATAAGCGAAAATTAAATTATTCACTTCATTTTTCATCAGACTTGGTAGGAAGTATTTTTAAGATAAAATCCCTTAAGGATTGACAAAATGAAGCGGTTTTCATGAAAACCGATTGAATATTTACATTTTTCAAATACATCCAAACTTTGTATCAATGGTTTTAAATTCAAGCACTTAATTTTATATCTATCAATCTACACGCAAAAAAATATTCATATTTTATGCCTCAAATAATCATCAATGTAATCTATATCAGTTTACTCATATTTAGTTAGTAGTATAAAAAATTTTACTAAAAAATAAACAAACTGATATATAAATCTTAACACACTACTTACTTTAGATTTTAAAATACGTTCATTACTTCGAAACACTTGTAAAGTTTTATCCAAATCATCAATTCCACTGCTAGTTGATGTATTCGGTGTAATTAGACCATCATCTCGTAGACGTGTAATTTCATCCTCTAATAGACGTATTTCATTTTCTAATGTTAAAATTTTTGATTCCTTTTTGTATAGAAAAAAGAAAATATATAGGGGTGATAAATAGGAGCCAGTATGAATGATTTATGTGTAATAATGATAAATTTGCTGGTTTAAGTTGTAGATTTGATATATATATATATATATATATATATATATATATATATATATTTATATATATATCTTGATTAACCAACAAGCCCGTTGCATATGCACGCCGCTGCTTTTTAGACAACACAAGGATTCTCATCAATGCCAGTTCATGATCATTCTTGACTCATACGGGAATGCACATGTTGTCCAGATTGTCCTGCAAGCAAGTCGGATATCTGATCAGTGTACGCATGAACAGTTACCCGCGCCAGGCTGCTTATGACTGAACTCGATCCCTCCAGCCAGTCTACCACTCACAGTCCCCAATATGCATGGGCAGCAAGGCGGGTTCGCCTAGCTGGACCTGCAACCCTGCAAGGGTTATCGAGTCACTTAACAGTACACTAGCCATGACAGATGTTATGAATGGTATG